TCAAGGTGGGAGGATCGATCACTTGAGCCTTACTGCTCCACAAAATGGAGCTGCAACTTTGATATAACAACACACAGACACTTAGAGGGTATAGAGAAATAGTTTACCCTCATACTACAGCAAACATCAGTAATTACGAGTGTCTTGATGCAGAATAAGAATCTTTCATACCTAAAGAAGCTGAAGCCAGGGGTGTTGGTGCACATCTGTAATCCCAGCACTCAGGAAGCTGAGGCAGGAAGATCCTCAGTTTGAGGCTAGCCTGGGCTACACAGCAAATTCTAGGTCTGGCTAGACTATGTAATGAGACCTCATCTCAAAAAAAAAAAAAAATTGTAACTATATGATCAAGTCTAAGTTTGATGAATAATGCAAGCCATTTGGTTTTTTTTTTTAGTTTTTTGGGTGTTTTTGGTACTGGGGATCGAACTCGGGTCCTTGCGCTTGCAAGGCAGGCAGCAGAACCACTGAGCTAAATCCCCAGCCCTATTTGTTTGTTTTTAATTCCTCAGCTTGAAGTGGCTTTAACTTCAAACTGGTCATGTGACAACTAAATCTAAGTAAATGTTCTTCTCAACACAGTACAAAGGAAAAAACACCCCTATGTATTAAGTGAAAAACTATCACAAAGTATAGGTCACAGAAAAAGCAAAATTATCTGCAGAGCTACAAAATGAGTTTATCCTAGTCACTTCAGCTAATAATTCAGAGAGTAAAACAGTGCTTCTCTCTCTGCAAACCTATATGCCTAAAGGTTGCCTGTCCTAACCAACTACAGGCAGCTACCTTCCTCATCAGCACACCACAGGGGCCAGCACGGCCCCCATTCTCACAGATTTCTAAAGCTAGTTCCACCCTGAGAGTTAGGTAATTTGTTTCACCCTGATGTCCTATTCAAGTGGCCAAAGACAAACATATTCCTGGTGGAAATTATGTAACAGACAAGCCACATCCTGTAATCAAATGAGTCTCTTCTGAAATGATTTTAAGAGCTGTCCATGCAGTGTTTAACACCAAGTGATCTTAAAGTCATCCATGCTGACACCTTGTATTGGATGATATATTTGCACCAATCAGCAAAAACAGAGTACCTTAGTTTTAAAGGAAGCAAGTGGACAGCTTAGTTCTAAAAATGTGGAAGACAGGCTGGGCATTCAAAATAGACTTTAAATGTTAAATAAAAAGGGCTGGGGGTGTAGCTCAGTGCAAAGGCCCTGGTTCAATCCTCAGTACTTGGGGATAGGGTATTCAACTCATATACCATATGTTTTCCTGCCTTATTTTTTTTTCATAATTCATATCACTAGCTGATACATTACAAATCTTAACTGCTTATCTACTTCCATTAAAATATAAACTCCTATGTGTCAAGGACTTTCTCTGTTCACAGCAGGAGGCTGAGGCAGAAGGATCACAAATTTCAGCTCAATCTGGGCAATTTAAGAGACTTAGCAAACATGCTGCCTCAAATTTTTAAAAAAATTTAAGAGGGCTAGGGGCTGGGGATTTAGCTCAGTGGTTCCGCTGCTGTCGGGAGCAATGCTACATAATTTTAGGATAAAATCATTTGGTTAGCCTAGTTCTCCTGTCTACAGCCCAGCAATTCCATATCAAAAAATTCCATAGCTGGGCTGTAGATAAGAGAACTAGGCTAACCAAATGATTTTACCCTAAAATTATGTACCATTGCTCCCAACACGCCACCTGCCTCGCAGGCGCAAGGTCCCGAGTTCAATTCCCGGTACCAAAAAAAATTTTAAAGGGCTAAGAGATGTAGCTCAATGTGAATGCCCCAGGTTCAAACTGTAGTAAGGCAAAAACAACAAGAACAAAAAAAGAACAATGTAATGTAGGGTGAGATGGAGAAGTTGAAGGGAGGGTAGGGGAAGGGGGAAAAATAAGAACAAAGAGAGTATGTAAAGGTGCACATCTCCAATGATGAATGTCATTATGTTGTACACACCTAAATTGTACCAATAAAAGGATATACCAAAAAAAGTATTGTATAAGTCCTATATAAAAGAAATTTCAGAGCATTTGAGGGTCTTTAAAAACATTCATTATATATGAAGGTATATATTGTGTGGATAAACTAAAAGACTCAATTTCATAAGATGTTATCCTGAAAATCATAGGTTCAATACAATTCTGAACAAAATTTCTAGAGTTTGGAAACAAAATTCTAAGCTTGATACTGAAAAAAATAACCTTTATATTGAAGTTACAATATTTTTGAATGATAAGAAAATGAAAAAAAAATTAATATTTTAAAGCAAAAAGTTATAGTAGGGCCGGGGATTTAGCTCAGTGGTTCCGGCACCTGCCATGCAAGCCCAAGGTCCCGAGTTCGATCCCTGGTACCAAAAAAAAAAAAGTAATATTGCAATATTTCAAATAAATATGAACACACGGAAACTTGAATTATGGCAGAACTTGCCCTATTAGTCAAGGAGAGACTAATAAATAAATGGTGTTGGGACACCAAATAATCTATAAACTAGACCCCTACACCTTAAACCATATGAAAAATTCTAGATAGATTAAAATGAAAGAAAGCAAAGTTATAAAGCTGTAAAATTAGTATGTGTGAGACCCAGAATTCAATTCTCACTGCTTCAAAAAAAAAAGTATATAAGGTAATATAAAAGACTGTATTTATGACCTTGGAGTATAAAAGTTTTCTTAAGAAAAAAGGCAGCTAGGCCTGATAACACATGCCTATAAATCCCAGCTATTCAAGAGGCTGGAGCAGAAGCATCACAAGTTTGAGGCTGTCTGGATAACTTAGTGAGAACCTGTCTTAAAATAAAATGAAAAAAAGGGCTGGGGTGTAGCTTATGGAAGAATACTTGCCTAGCATGCATGAAGCCCTGGGTGCCATCCCCAGTGACACACACAAAAACAAGATGGGGAGGTGGGGCGAAGGGAAGAAGAGGAGGAGAAAGAGAACATAAACCACAGAGATTTGGGCTGGCAGTTTAGCTCATGCTAAGTACTGCACAAACTCAGCATACTCAAGCCCTTAATTCAATGCCCTGAACCAGAATAAAAGAATTGATAAATTATATGGAAATTTGTAAGTTCTAATCAAGGACAACCTAAAATGATTAAGTCATAAATGTATAATAAAACTGATAAAAAATTAATTTAAAAATATAAAGAAAACTATTCAACTGAGGTGGGGAAACAACTTGAAGCCAAGGTAGTTTAAAGAAGAAATACTAAGGGCTTATAAACATGAAGAGAGGCTAAAGGTCCTTAGTGCTCACAGAAATGCAAATCCATGAGCTATTTTTTTTTAACCACGATTAATGAAAACTTAAATCTTTACATACAACGTGGTAAACAGGACACGGTGGCACACGTGTATAATCTCAGTGCTCAGGAGGCTGAGGCAGGAAGATCGCCACAAGTTTGAGGCCAGCCTGGGCTACATAGTGAGTTCAAGACTAGCTTGAATTATGTTGGGAGTCCCTGTCTCAAAAACCAAAGAGCAAAACAAAACAGTGAAAAGTGGTATCCTAGATTAGATTCAAAACAGAAGATTATTACTGGAAAATGGGTGAAATCTATATAAACTCTGGACTTTAAGGTAATATACAAATACTAATCTCTTTGTGCTCGCTTTGGCAGCACATACACAAATATTAATCTCTTAGTTTTGACAAATGGACCACTGTTATACAAGATGCTACACTAGAGGAGTGATGGCGAACCTTTTAGAGTTTTCAATGATAACAAACAGCTCGCTGCAGCATGCATGCTATAGGTTTGTCACCATTGCACTAAGGGAACTGGGTAATAGCACATGGGAACTCTTTAATTTTTGCAACTCTTTTGTACATTCAGGATTATCCCAAAACAGTGCTGGTAGTATCATGGTGAGCACAGCTGCATTCCAAAATTATCCTAAAGTCAGTCAGTTAGTTAGTTAGTACTGGGAAGTGAACCTAGGGCCTAAGGTATGCCAAGCAAGTGCTCTAGCACTGCATTATTTCCCTAGCCATTTTTCTTTTTTTGTTTTGTTTTTTTTATTTTTGAGACAGGGTCTTCACTATGTAGTTCATGCTGGCTCTGAACTTACTATGTAGCTCAGGCTGGCCTCAAACTCACAACGATCCTCCTATCTCAGCCTCCCGAGTGTTGGGATTATATAGGTGCACACCATGCCTGGCCTTATTTTTTGAGTCAGGATCTTGCTAAGGTGGAGGCCAGCCTGGGCTACATGGTGAGTTCAAGGTCAGCCTGAACTACATAGCAAGACCCTATCTGCAAAAAAAAAATTTGTTAGCTGTGTAAGGCATGGTGATGCACACCTGCAACCCCAGTTACTCAGCAGACTGAAGAAGAATTACAAGTCCTAGCCCAACCTGGGCAACTTAGCGAGTTCCTGACTCAAAATACAAAATAAGGGCTGGGGATATAGCTCAGTGATAGAGTGCTTGCCTAATATGCACTAGGTCCTGGGATCAATCCCCAGTATTGCCAAAAAAAAAAGGTGTTAGTCGTGTGAGCTGGGTGGGTAACTCAGTGATAGACTGCTTGACTACATGTATAAAGATGTGAGTTCAATCTTCAACACTGCCCTCTCACCTCCTGATGTTAGACACATAGGTGTTAATTTTATTATTCTTTACCTCTTCTTTATATATGTTAGTATTAAATGTTTCATAAATTTGAAACTCTAAAAGTACCACATATTGCCAGGCATGGTGGTGCACACCTGTAATTCCAGCACTTGGGAGGCTGAGGCAGGAGGATTACCATGAGTTCAAGGCCAGCCTGAACTACATGGTGAGACTCTGTCACCAAAGGGAAAAAAAGGGGTGGGGGGAGAAAGTACCACATATCAATTTACTATAAGTAAAATCTTTGTACCTTAAACTGTATGAACACCCTTTCCATTGCTCGGCATCCAATATCGATGTAAGTTCACACTGTTAAAAACAATGGGCTTTATCTTTTTAAGGAAATATCTTTAAAAAATACACAACTCATACCCAGCCACCTTGCTGAATGATGTACTCTGCTGCATGGTCCTCCAGATACGTCACGCCAAACTGCAGCAGTGCACTCAAAGGCTCTTGACCACGTCTTGTCAACTCCAAAAGCATTTGTTGTAGCAAAATCAGAGGCACCAAAATCTTCCATGTAAAGATGAGAGGGAAAAAAAACTGAAATTCTTATCATGCATTTTGAATATTCAACTACTGGAAAATTATACTCAGAAGCATCATTAGGTATTTTACTCTCATCATAATAAAACACTAACTCCTATTAAGATTGTTCTGAATCTTGAATGTAGGTTTCATACAAGGACAGTAGAATTTTATGAGTCATTGGATGTGTGTGTCAAATAACACACACCTCTAAGAAAATTCAAAGAAGCATTATTTACAATAACAAGAGACTAGAAACAACTCAACAGGGACTAGTTTAATAAATTCTGACCATCCAGTAAGGTAAGTTGTTAAAAAGATTTAGACTGCTCACTAACCATCACCAAAATTTATTTTACATGAAAAAAGCAAGATACAGGAGAGTGTGCACAATTCCATTTGAGAGAAAACAAAACCAAACATGCACACGCATACATGTCTGCATGACCCTACAGTATATCTGAAAACAACTGTACAAGAAACTGCTGATAGTGATTGCCTGAGAGGATGAAACTGGGTGCCTGACAACACAGGTGAGAGAAAATTTATTTTTTTCCTGTACCAGGGATCGAACACATGACCTTGCACTTGCAAGGCAAGGGCGGTGCCACTGAGCTAAATCCCTGGCCCCAAAAACTTATTTTTGATTCACATCTTTCTATACTTTCAGTATGTTACAGTATATCCTTTTATTATCTGTTTGAAAAGACCTTTTAAAAATTATATCTGGGGGGCTGGGGATTTAGCTCAGTGGTTTCACCACCTGCCTCCCAAGCACAAGGACCTGAGTTCTATCCCCGTACCAAAAAAAAAATTATATCTGGTAAAACTGATCAAAAATCAAATATAAAGGAGGTATCATAATCTACACATTACAACCCTATGCTCAATATTTAAAAGTCATCAAAACTTACACCAGAGGGCCGGGGATTTAGCTCAGTGGTTTCAGCGCCTGCTGTACAAGCGCAAGGACCCGAGTTCAATCCCTGGTACCAAAAGAAAAACTTACACCAGAAACTAGAGTCTGTTGTCTTCCTTTAAATTGCATATTGAAAAAAACTAAAGGGCTGGGGATGTACCTTAGTTGAAGTGTGCTTGCCTACCATGCATAAAGCCCTGAATTTGATCTAAATTTTAGAAAGAAAAAATTTAAGCATTTCCACTAGCCATCTGCATGCAATCGCTTGTCTAAAACACCAAGAGGTCTCCACATGGCTAGAGAAGGAATGCACAAGGAAATGAAAACAATTCCACTTTCTTTTACTGGATTAGCAAGGAAATAACTGAGGAACCACAAAATATTTTCACAGAAAAGGACAAACAAAAAAAATGAGTTTATACTTTATAGTAATATTCTGTGGCTTTGAAGTAAAAGCAGTCCTCAGGGAAACTATATTCAAGTCTAGCAGAAAGAATGCAACAAACACATATCTTCACTTTTTGATATTCTAAAAGAACTACAGCCAATAATATATTAAAGGCCCCTTCTTAGGCCAGGCATGGTGGCACACACCTATGATCCCTGCACTCAGGAGGCTGAGGCAGGATTGCTACAAATTTGAGGCCAGCCTAGGCTACATAGAGTTCAAGATCAGCCTGAACTAGGTAGCAGCAAGACCCTATCTCAAAAAACAAACCAAAAAAACAAACCAAAAAGTCCTTCTTAACACTATTAGCAGGGTTATAAAGAATAATTAGGCTTTTATCATAGTAAGAAAACCTGTCATACTATTAAATGCAAAACAAAAACACTATTGTCCATCTAGCCCTAATATTTTGTCTTGGGTAGGACAGGTAAGGCTTGTGAGTCAGCCTTGTTAATTCATATCACAACTTCAAAGGCTTTGAATATTCTGTACCTCAAAACATTCTGATTTCCTGAAACAACCTATAAATACATAACACTTTGAGGTGATGCATGCTTAAACACTATTACCTCTTAAGGGTATGTGTTGCAAACATTTTATGAGTTGTCATATAAAATAATGTTTCTTTTTATTTTTTCTAAATTACTTCTTTCATTGTAACAAAAAGTAGATACTCTGATTTTACATATAATACTCTAGTGATAAATCTGTAATCCTTTTTGTCTCCTGTCAATTTCAGTCCTTGATTGTATTCCCACTTATTCACTAAACTTTCAGACTAAAAATTAATCTTTTAGTTTATTCATATGGCACTTATTGCATTATTTAAGTTACCCTTTCCTGGATCTTCTCCTCTCCAAAAATACCTTTTTTGAAATCCAATAACCAGGTAGAGAAATTTTATTTTACAAGACTGGCATTTTTTATTTGGTTGATAATACACGTCTTGGTAATGTATGTTATGTAAGATGATTTGTTTTTTCTATTTCTCATACAATTATGAAGTGACTACTATATACCAGGTTTACCTATTTGACACCTATTTCATAGATTTGCCTGATGACTTCAAGCCTAGCTTTTCAGTACAGTTTAGACTATCTCCCCTCCCACCACGCCACTGGGGACCAAACCCAGGGCCTTCTCATTGAGCTATCTCCTTAGCCCCTTTTTATTTCTTATTTTAAGACAGGATCTGGCTAAAATGATAAACTGCCCAGGGTGGGCTCGAATTTGTGATCCTCCTGCTTCAGCATCCTAGAGTGCTGAGATTACAAGTGTGTGCCACTACACCTGGCTAGACTAACTTTAAAAAGTTAAATTCATATGCCCTGTACACAAAGCGTCACAAGTTTTAATCTGTAACTTGATTTTTCTGTGCTCTTCTCTATTATTGTTTTTAAAAATATTAAAACAAAACTGGATCCCTATCTATTTAGACACAGTCAGTATTCACAAATACAAGTTAAAAATTAAGCAAGGCAATCCACTTTCTGTGTTCCCACCTGCCTCTCAGGAGCTGTCTCTCCCTCAATAAATTTCCTGTTCTTAAAAAAAAAAAAAAAATTAAGCAAGTAGTCTGATCCTTTGATTATGTCTCTAAGTCATTTCCTTACTGGATAATAATAACCTTCAGGGCCAAGGATTTAGTTCAGTGGCACCACACCTGTCTCAAAAGTGCAAGGTCCTGAGTTGGATCCCCAGTACCAGAAAAAAAAGAAAATAGTAACTTCACAATGCATATAAATTGTTTTCTCTTTAATACTTTTTGCAGTGGAATTCTACAGTATTTCTGACCACTGAAAAGTATTCTCTCTGCCTTGAAAGCACAAGGTCCCAAGTTCGATACCCAGTACCAAAAAAAAAGCATTCTCTCACTAGGTGTGGTGGTGGTGCATCTGTAATCCCAGCACTCTGGGAGACTGAGACAGGAGGATTGCCAAATTCAAGCCAAACCCTGTCTTAAAAAATTAAAAATAAAAATAAAACAGACTGGGGTGTAGTTCAGTGAGAACAACAATAGCAGCTGCAACAACAACAAGAATGTTTACTTCCATTGGTTTACTTTTATCCATATTGGGCTGGGGATTTAGCTCAGTGGTTCTGGTGCCTGCCTTGCAAGCGCAAGGTCCTGAGTTCGATCCCCAGTACCAAAAAAAAACCAAACCACACATACTTTTATCCATATTGAATCCACTGGCATCTCCTCATAAGTACTTTGCAATCTCTTCTTCTAGTAAGTTAGACTTAAATTTAACATTATGTTTTATTAAAGAATACATGAGCTTGCTGGGTGTAGGAGCATATGCCTGTGATTCCAGCACTCAGGAGCTGAGGCAGGAGAACTGCCTAGAGCTCAAGGCCAGCCTGGGCTACACAATGAGTTCAAGGCCTGTCTGAACTACATAGCATGACCCTATCTCAAAAAACAAAACAAAACAAAAAAACCGAGGAGTTTGCCTTGTGTAGAAATGAAGCACACTAATATAGAGCTCTGAGGGTCCTTTCCAGTACAATGGATATTTAGATGATAAACTACATGTATTTGTTCATCAATCTAGTTAACCCTTCTGAACCCTAACAATTCAGCTAAATGTAACATCCCACAAATTTCATCTGTATCTAATTCACTGATTTTGATTTTACCATCTTCTGGTTTTGGGGGTTTCTTTTTTTGGTACCAGGGATCGAACTTGGGTCCTTGCATTTGCGAGGCAGGGGGCAGAACCACTGAGCTAAATCCCTGACCTGGTTTTACCATCTTTGACTTGTCTGTTTAAAATTATGATATAAGATATAATCAGACATTATATGTCACCCAGTGTGATGCAAAAGGAATTAGATAAAAGTACCAGTTAAATCACAAAGAATCAACAACTGGGATCTCATCTTATTAAAAAGCTTTTGCACAGCAAGAGAAACTACCTACAGAGTGAAGAGACAACCCATAGTATGGGAAAAATTTTTCCCAGCTATTCCTTAGACAAACGACTACTATCTAGAATATATAAAGAATTCAAAAAAATCAGACCCCCCAAATTTAAAGACCCAATCCAAAACTGGGCACCTGAAATGAACAGGCACTTCTCAAATAAAGAAGTAGAAACAGAAAAATAAATATATGAAAAAATGTTCATTACTGGTCATTAAAGAGATGCAAATTAAACACATATATTTATAGTGGCAAGTTTGTAATAGCTAAATCTTGGAAACAGCCCAAATGCCCATTAACTAATGAATGAATAAAGATGTGGGGTTTTTTATACAATGGAGTACTACTCTGCCATAAAGAAGGATGAGTTTTTCGATCCCCGGTACCAAAAAAAAGAAAGGATGAGCTTGGGCTGGGGATTTAGCTCAGTGGCACCACACCTGCCTCGCAAGCTCAAGGTCCTGAGTTCGATCCCCAATACCACAAAAAAGAAAAGATGCCCTTGAGACATTTATAGCTAAATGGATGCACCTTAAGACCATACTCTTTTTTTTTTTTTTGGTGCCGGGGATCGAACTTGGGTCCTTGCGCTTGTGAGGCAGGCAGCAGAACCACTGAGCTAAATCCCCAGCCCTAGACCATACTCTTGAAGTGAAAAAATCAGACACACATGTTTAAATACCACACCA